ACAAAATGCAGCTGGGAAACGGTGGGAAGAAGATGATAATACGAGCTAAAACAGTCGGGTACCAGGAATGCCGTAGTGGTAACTGCCAACAAAAATGCACGACAGACATAAGATGCTACCAGAATTGCGGAGGGAGCTGCAATCAAGAATGCAACTCTGGCAAAAGCTGTGAACAGTATTGTACCATCGATGGTAACTGTGACCAAACATGTAGCTCCAACAAATGCTTGCAGCGATGTGGTCAAGGCAGAAACTGCAAGATGACTTGCGGAGCGACGCTGCAATGTGAGCAGGTATGCTACCGGACTTTTTCTTTCAAAAAAATTTCATATTTTGAGTAATCAGTGAAAATTTATGCGAACTGGCAAAATTGGGCGTTGAATAGTTGAAATGCGAGACGAGGTGTTCTAATGTTTAGAGCGCTGGACTCCTAGTCGAGAGGTCTGGGTTCGAGACCTGGCCGCATCAATGTGAAGGAATAACCTTACGATGGGCTGGTGTCCCATCCAGGGGGGAATAGTGATACCCCTAGTCGCTTATGCTGAGAGAAACTGGTATAAGCCCCGGCTGGATGGGCCACTTGTCTTGAGAACAGACTTTACCTTTACCTGTTCATTCACATTTGTGTGTGCCTTTATTTATGAGCTCAGGATGGCTTAAAACGAGCGCCTACAAACTGCTCAAGAACTCGGAGATCCAGATAGGACGAAGTCGAACACTTCTCTGTGAGCTTTCAATTTCTTAGCGACAGAACCCACTCATATTGTGTTACTCACCCCTAAACTGATAAAGTTGTAATTTAGTCGGGTTTAACAAACAAACGGGTGTTCCTTCTCTTTGCAGCGATGCCCTCAAGGTGGCTGTCAAGGGGTCTGCAATTCACCCTCGTGCTTTCAGCTTTGTGATTCAGGTAACTGCTCTTTCGAATGCAAGGGACCTCACTGCCATCAAAACTGCTCGGGTGGTGGCTGTACCTTGAGTTGCCCCGTGGGCGCCAAATCGTGTGTTCAGCACTGTCCAGCTCAAAACTGTACCATAACAAGAAAGGAAGATGGGCATTTTATGGTTAAAAACACGTCAGACAATTACGGGATCCACTTTAACGGAATAGAAACGAAGACAAACAGTGGCAGTGTTTGGTTACCCTGTTCTTTAAATTTTAGGAACGTTTTTGCCTTCTATGCGGTGTGGATTGTATCGACTTATATATTGACTTAGAGCAGTTTTCAAATTAGTGTCGAAAAACCAAAACCAGAGTTATCCTAGTAACCAGTCAGGACAAAGATTTACACTGTCATTAGCCAATGAGAACTTAAAGTGAAAACAAGTAAACTACTAAAGCGCGGGAAAACGCGAGTGGCCAAGCCGCGGTTATTTTTAGTTTTTCACCTGATTGGTTGAGAAAAGAGCGCAAGTTTTCTAGACCACTCTCAGAGCAAAGGCAAGTCTCAGTTTATTTCGACGCTGAATTGAAAATTTCTCTAATTCGTGCTACTTGCGTAGACCAAAATGAAACCAGTCTAAAAAGGTGCCCACTATTTAAGTATTTTTGTACATATATAACTGTAGATAAATGTTTAAAATGAAGTCTTTTTGGGGCTTCAATATTTTATAGAGTCCTGAATAAAACCAACAGTCTTTAAAGAAATACGATTACAAGGAACTTTACGACAGCCAAATCACCTTTCTCATTAATGCATTCATAAGCACTATAACATACATAGGTTTACAAACAAAACTGGAAATAAATTTATTTCCAAATGCCACCGTATATTGTAAATAGGGCATATGTATTTAATAGTAGCGAAAATAAATGATGTTTTATAAATACTTAATGCTATCATTGTCTGTGATATCTAGTTTAATTATATTTAATTAGGTGACCTTCTTGTAACCCTGTACAGTTTACAGATCGTAACTGATATATGTAAATAGACAGACAGTGTTTATTGAATAAATATTATGATAACCAGAACTATAACATATCCTGTCTGGCCTTAAGCTGTTTCTTAATTGTGCACAGTATAACTTCACGTCGTTAAATGGTCTTATATTCATGCTATTGTTTAGGTCATTTCCGAATCAGTGGGGTTCTCGTCGGATTTCACTCAGAAATGAAACGCGCCATGTGCATTGTTGAGTTATATAACCACACGGGAATTTTTAAGAACACGAGAGATGTGCGGAGAAGCACGAGCCGAAGGCAAGTGCCACACGCACTTCTCGAGTGTTCTTAAAAATTCCCAAGTGCTTATATAACTTAACAATGCTCGAGGAACGAGTTTTTTTATTTCTTTTATAAAATGTATCGTTAATTGCGCGCGCTCGTACCGATGACCTAGGCTTTGTGCATTATATCTCAACAGTGCACTCTTGTGACGTAAGGCGCGTGTTTTATGGAAATATAATGAACTCGTTCTGACCAATCACGGCGCGCGCATTTCTCTGAACATTTTATAAACCTCTCTAATAAAGCATTAGTTAAGTAAAACGCCTCGCGTATGCGAACGGCAAATGGCAAGAATTCAACTTTGTCTTCTGCCTTTCACCTTTAAAGCAGTAATTTGAAAATATCTGCGTTTATTGTTATTAGAAGATATTTGTGTATTTCTCTGTTGGGTCTGATTGGATAAGAAGAAAAGCAGGCGAAATTTGCCGTTCGCGTTTGCCGTGAACTTGCTTAAAAATCTTTTCCATTTCTTCCACGCGCTCTCAGCGTCATATTCTGTCGGACGAGCGTTTCAAAACAAAATTCTTCGATTTTTTTCTCGCCAAATGACCCAAATTTATTTACTAAAGGTTTTCTCTTTTCTCTTTCAACTGGGAACTTTGGAACCCTCCTAAAAATCTTACTTTATAATGCCTGGTCACGCGTAACACAATGAACATCGGCGTCATGGTAACCAAGAAGAGACTGAAATGTGATTGGTTTCATGCGATAAGAACATGATAAATATCCATCAATCGCGATCGTCGATTGCACGTTGCGTGTGGCAGACACAGATCTTAATCGCACGAATGTTAGAACATCAACCTTCAGCAGGAAATTATGATCAATCAAGAGTTCACGTGGCCAGAAGAACTTCAGCCAGTCATTATTGGAGAAAGGAAATTCTTCCGCATAGAAGACCCATTACTTTCCCATTTTGGATTAAAGATGCACGTGAAGAAGAAAGGTTACAAACATTTGGATAAGATTATCGAGACCAACGGTACGTATATCTAGTCATTGAGGACTTCAAACATTTAGTTTGCGAATCCGATTACGTGACATGCTTAAGTTATATGTTATAATAATCACAGATTCGATGAAAAAGACTAGTAATTTAATCATTTGTTTATTGTAAATAGACAAGATAACTCAGAACTCACATCATCGAATTATGTAAACTTTAAGACATACGTCCTCGATTTTAGCGAACCCTTTGGTCCCCAAGATGTGAAAGCTAATTCTCTCTCTGATGATCATACTTTTCTTTGTTGGGTAGTCCTGAGAATTTGGTATTATATCAAGACAATATCCCCTAGTTGATACTGTTCATAATTCTCACACCTCTCTGTTTAACAGTGCATAGAAATTGTAAGAAGAATTAATTCTTATACTTAATAATTTATACTTGCCTTTAGAGGGGTGTAAAATTGAAATTTTCAAGTGCTCACAAGATTTTGGTTTTGCTCGAAATGCTTTAAAAATTTCTAAGGAGGCTCACTTTCTCATGCAAACAACCCTTTGTTATTGCTTGCACGCTCAGATCCTGGAGTACTCGCAGTTCCGTGAATCATATTTTGTAAGTTGTTTTGGAAAGAAATAATTCTATCCTTACCTTTCCTGAACTGGAGGTACAAAGAGATATCTTTTTATTTATTAAAACAAAAAATAATAATAAATTCATAACAATTTGAGAAGCTGAAAAAGGATTGTTGTCAGTGGAAAATTTGCAAAGCACTACTGCTTGTGCTCACAAAATGTAATGCAAAGCTCCCATGCCAAGAAATGCTTGCAAGGACTAATAAATACCTCTTATAGGAAATGGAATAGCCATTCTTACATTGAGTCAAACTTTCTGTCATATTGTCCGGTAGTAAACATTTAATTTGTTCTCAAAATATCAATCATTTTAGGATAGACAGGTGGTGAGAGTAAAATAAAACAATCAACAAGGGGGTATTCTCTTGATTCCTGACATGGCAATCAGCAATCAATAGTTATTGTTGATATTTAGAGCTTACAAATGACAGCTTAAACTATATCTTTTGAATTTATGTGTAATAATAAAGTCCCATCATCCTAGATAGGCAGAAATATCAAATATCTTTTATGCTTATTGGTAAATATACAATCATGTACATGTCTGTCTTTTACAGGTTTGTCGGTCAGTGAAGAATATCTGTTTAAAAATGAAAGTTCCAAGCTCCGAACTCACATGTCTTGCAAAGTTGGGATATTATTACTCTTTACACACAACAGTAGACTGCAAGGAGAAGACAATGAAACTGCTTCAAGACTTCGATGTTATTTAATCGATATGCTTCTTGGCACTGTGCTGAATACAGCTGAATATAATACTGTTCACAATGAACTAAATTCAGTAGAACCACTTAGAAATCAGTCATCTTTGAATGCACCATCTTCTCCTCCTCCACAGTTGGAAACAGGAACTTCACCTTTTTCTGATACACAATTCTCTGGACCACTATTACCAGAAAATTCATCTTTCTCACACCCTCCATCCTCTGTACCACTGTTGCAACCAACAACTCCAGCAAGTTCATCTTTCTCCAATCCACCATCCTTTGGGCCACTGTTACAACCACACAGAAAAATGAAAATTAAGCAGGAACCCTTAGAAACCAATGAGATTTAACTATCAGTCTCCGAAGACATTGACACATGATGCAATCTGGGGCAAAATGCAAGCCTATTTTTCCCACCAAGCTGTAGGAGTTAGTGGTCAGAATTATTTACACCCATATACAGATTTTTTTTGTCTTGACTCAGTTTTATACATTAACATTTTTATACATTTTATACATTGACTCAGTTAGAGTTTGAGTGTGTCAATGGTATATTTAAGCTCAAAGAATCTCACATCAACTTTGTTGGAACATTCTCATGTTTAAAGTTAACCAATTAAAGTAGGAATATGTCACAGCAATGTAGCAGTTACTTCTGTGCTTGACCAGAAATGATTAGGCAGCAAACTGGATCACGTGCTGGGGAGGGGGCCCTCAAAATTTCACACCCTAGTGTTTATCCCTTAAATTTGCGATTTTGGCTCAGTTTGATTAAGAAAATAAAATAAGTGTAAGCAAGATGTGAGGAAAAAACTTAACCAACAAGTGATGCTAACAAGTTGGATACTTATATTTTTATTATCATTTGCAAATAGTGGTCGAGTTTGTTGTTGTTTTTCTTTTACAGTGTGAGCCTTCTTATTAATTACAAGAGTTTTAATGAACTCTTGATGAGCGGTGTCTGTGCCAAACAAAACGAAAGGTAATCTTTCTTGTATTTTGCATCTTCATGAATATTAGCTACCATAACATATTTGTCTTGAAGTAAACTTCTTCAGCACAATGTCCACAGGTATCACATTCACAATAAATGAGGTGTCTGTAATGTAATCCTTATGTCTGTTTCAAGGCTGACTCAATCTCTGACTTAGAGACATCAGGTTTGATGTCACAATCTTGAAGTTCTTCAAAACAAGTCCATGGACATTGTATTAGTCCATTGTAAATATTCTTGATGCAATGTCTGAGATAATCCAGTCAATGCCATCTAGTAGTTTCTCTCCTGTAACTGCACTGCACCATTGAATGTTCCAGTGATGTGTCTTGATGGATTCCAAATCAAGAGCCTTTTGATAGAAAAAAGAATAACAAAGACTCTTCTCAGAAACCTGAGGCAGATTAAGGGATGATCAAGGGATCATCACTCCCTTCTCTTTCAGGACATTTTTTATTTGATTTTATTTTGCGACTCAATGGCATGAACACTCAGTTTGTGCATTACCATGCACTGTAGTTTTTGTATGTGGGGCTAGTTTACAAAGTTTTATTTCCAAATATATGCACCCAAACTCAAATTCTTAACACTCTTGGAGACAACGACTATAAATATATGAAAATCATATATGTGCACTGCAGTGAAGAAATGAATTCAAGCGATCCTCACAGCTAAGAACACTAATGAACTAGTAGTTGAAATAAGACCTGAAAAAAAATTCAGGCCTGTACAGGATTTGAATCCATGACCTCTGCACTAGTATCCCAGAGGTCATGGGTTCAAATCCCATGTGGGCCTGAATTTTTTTTCAAGTCTTATTTCAACTACTAGTTCAGTGGTGTTATAGCTGCGAGGATTGCTTATATTCCACTCTCGGAGACAGTTTACAAATAGTTAGGTTTCCCTTTGGAATCTCGCAGTGCTACCAGTGGTTATTTTTACAATATAAACATGAAATGAAGATGGTCTTAAAAATATACTTCTATGAATAATTTTTCTGGATCTACCATTTGATATACATAATGCATCTTTTTTAGAAACTCACACTATAGTCTTCAATACTCACGAGTTGAAACAATATTGACATCATTACTAACACTACATCAAAGAAGTAATAACTTCTATAAGTTAGAATACTCACATCTCTAATTTCTTCAGCAGACAAGGCGCCAGGTAGGTCCTGTTTATTGGCAAACACTAATAATGTAGCACCTGCAAGCCTCTGGGTAAATACAAAGAAACTTTTTTTCAGGGACATTTTTTGACTTTAGAAAGTTTATAAAATCATATTTAATATGACAAACATATTTGGCTGAGTATTTTGGATGCTGATCTTGGAGAACCTTGTGTCTATCCTATGATAAAGCTCCTAGTTCTGTAAAGTCCCTTTTTTCAAAGCTTTAATAGTAGCTTTCTGTGTCAATGTCGGAGGGTGTGTATGCATACTATAAGATGCAATGAACACTCCTTTACAATCTACAACATCTGTGCACCACATAGCCCCCAAACAACATCACTCAACAGGCAGTTTACAGACACAACATGACATGAAATGATACAACAGCATCTATAAACTTTAATCACAGACAACCAGACAAGAAATTACTAAAAACATTTTCCAGGTTTGTGCTTCATATGATTCATAACAGCAGCCATAGCCTTACATGCATGCCTGTATTGAGGTCTCATTTCATTATTATTACAGTATATCTAACTTTAGTATGAACAGCCAAGTTTATCATACACATAAATATAATGTAATAATAATAATAATGTAAAAACATTAAAGGCATGGCAAGTTCTTAAATTCAGTTTTCCCTTGGAAAAGAGTCTAGTTTTTTAAGTTACCTCTTCTAGAAGGAGACCTTTCAGTTCCTCCTTGCAGTCTATCAGCCTTCTTCTGTCCGCACTATCCACTACCCATATCAAACCATCAGTGCTTTCAAAATAATTTCTCCAATATGATCGAAGAGACTTCTGTCCTCCAACATCCCAAATATTTAACTTGAATCTATAGTACATTTAAAAGCAAATTAGGGGATTTTGGATAAAAAGATTCTTTTTTTAAAATAATCAACATGTTATTTCTTCACATACTAAAACAATGTAATTGAGTCCAGTCTCCTTATCCACACCAATGCTAAAATTTGCTTTAAACATCCTCTTATCCAAACCCTGCACCTGCCTCTCCCAAACCCTTTGACTCCCAAGATCTGACTGTTAATTCTCTCTGCCCGCTACTACACATTTCCCTGTCAAGTAATTATGAGAATTTGGTGATAGATCAAGATAACAACTTGTACCTGATAAGTTTGAGTATTATCAATACCTGGCTGTTTGCTAGATAATGCATGGAAATTATGGGGAGAAGTTACATGTTTAATCACCTCTGGGAGTTAAAAGATTAAGAAATCAGTTAACCCTGTAATTCCCAAGAGTGATCAACATGAAACTTCTCCCAATGAAATCCTTTCATTATCCAACAAACAGCTAATGAGAATATTCAAACTTATCATGTAAAAGTTGTTGTCTTGATCTAACACCAAATTCTCATAACTAATTTACAAGGATATGTGTAGAAGCTAGAGGGGAGGATTAACAATCAGATCTTGGGAGTTAGAGGGTTAATCTAATGTTTAAAAGAAGTTGGTTTGGAGAACCCACCCCCATCATCATTTCCATTAAAATTATTGAGTTTTCAGCCAGGGGAAACTTTAAACTACAATAAATATAGGTATTGTACAATGATAACACAACAACACTGACAACATCAAGAGACAAGATGGAAAAATGGTTAGTGTGCTGCACTCAAGAGTCAAGGGTCAAGGGTCAAACCCTGGTAGAGTTACTGTGTTGTGTTCTTGTGTGAGACACCTTACTCCCACATTGCTTCTCTGTACTGATCCAGGAGCATACTGTAAATGGGTCATGATGAATGAACATGGAAGCCTGATGAAATGCTAGGGATAACCTTGCCATGCACTGGTATCACACCCAGGAAAGAGTAGTAATACTCCTAGTTGTTTCATGCTAAGTAAACCAGAATAACCTCTGGCTGGGTGGGCCATTTGACTCAAGTACAGACTTTACCTAGCTATCTTCACTCTGATAAACAGGTAAGTGGGCATGTGGATGGACGGAACAGTGGACAGAGGAATGAATGAATGGAGTAAACAGACAGACAACTGACAAGCATGAAGGCAGACCGACAAATAACAGTCATGTAGGTAAACAGACACTCAGACAGATTGACAGAAACACATACACAGAGGGAGACACAGATTGATAGAGAGATGAGACACAATTGAGCAGACTGACAGGTAGACAGATGGGTAGACAGACATAAATGGGGTGGAGACAGACATGTACAACCAGACGAACAGACAGGCAGGAATGCTAACAAACTGCCTAACGAACAAAACACAGGCTTTGCCTTTTTTTCTTACTCTTTGTGTTCTAAGGTTTTGATATTAAATCCTAAAGTAGGTTCGATTGTGTTGATATCTTCTCCATTGAACTTCTTCAAAATAGTCGTTTTCCCAGCATTATCAAGTCCTCTGTAAAGCGCAGTCAAGGTTACAATTCAATATTTTGTTCCGTCAAACCAAATGATACACCTGAGGCATACCGTATTTCACCTTTCAAAAGCAAGAAATTGCAAACAGATATAATACAGAACGCATAAAAGGATACAGCATAAGAATTCTCATCTCTTTCTCCTTCTGCTTCATCTTCTTTAAAATAGTTAATAGCCCCATACTGTTTACTGTGAAAATTTCCTGATCGTCATTGAGTTTTCCGTTTCACCGGCGCCATCTTCCTTTCTAATCAGCATTACACGACACTAGTTTGGATTTACCTATTACCGCTAGTCAATAAAATAAGGGCGCAGAAATCAAGATGGCCGCAAGTAGTCGAGCTCGTGTTCGACTTTCGGAAGCTTCACAAGCCTTTCTAAATGACGATGCAGACGCCCGAGCTTCTGGAGAATATTCTGCTGAAGATTCTACATCAGAAAAGGTTAAATATATATTTTTAAAAGTTAAATGCTCGAATTTCGTCCTCTCGCAGATATGCCAAACTCGTAAAATTCTCAATAACTTGTTGCTTCAATCAAGACTGTTTCCTTTGTCAGTGTTTCGTTGAGAGGAAAATAAGCAAATCTGTGCATAACAATGATTATTGTAAGGGTCAGGGTCAGATTGAACTCACTCCAAACAAATTTTTTTTTTTTCAGGTAATTGATTTGCTTAATCAAGCTCAGCTGGAGAAGGAAAACAAACTGAATTGTCTGAAACAGGTAAGCTTACCGTATGCAACCACGGAGTACACTACGGAGCAGTGCTCAGTGGTATAAACACACCTTATTTGAAGGTTTAACATTTAATACAAGCGGATATGTTACGAGTTGCTTGGTGTTTTATACGAGCAATGAGCAAAATTTCCGTTCGTATTATTGTACATCACAACAAACCATTCAATAAGGGAAATACTGTTCCACTGTTATTTCATTTTCCAACGTTTTGGCTTCTGGTTTCGAACAACTTTCTACGGCCTTCTTTGAGCCTGTTACCGATCGCATATAAAGCTTACGTGGAAGATGAAAACCACAGAAACGAAACGATTTAAATGTTTTTTCAATCATGATCTACTTAAGAATCAGATGGGCTTCAAAGTTTGCTGCTGAAAAATTCATACAGTACCAAAAAAAAGAGAAAAGTGAAAGTGAGGATCGTTCATAGTGGCCATTTTGTTGGTCCTCTTTCCATTCTTAATTTGCCTTGTTATAAAGTATACTGCTGTGGAAATGTGTTAGTTCTATCTTGTGAGAGCAGTATGGAGTGTGCTTGAGGACATTCCAGATATTCTTACTCCAAAATATTACCATACCCAACCGCCAGTATGAAGCATTGTTGAAAGTGTAGGCCCACAGCTCTTGCTGCAGTTTCTTTTAGGATAATACTGAAAGGGATTTTTACCTCTTTTTCTGTTTCTGTCACAGGTCCAAGAGTTCATTGTGAACAAAGACCCAACCCTTCTTGATAATTTTTTGGATGTAAGTACAACTTATTTTTAATTATTTGTTTGTTATTTTAACCCTTTAACTCCCAAGATGTAATCAGTGACTTATCGTCTGCCAAATGATTCTCGCAATGGTAGCTGGAGAATTTGGTATCAGATCAATTAGTAATCCCATAATTAATATTTTTCTTTATTCTCATCACTTGTCTGCTTGATATTATATTGATATAGTGAAGAGAAATGCTGTCTTGGTCACTCATGGGAGTTAAAGGGTTAATTACAATACCCCTTATTAGTTATATATTAACAAACATCATTTCTAATACCTGGTATCTATCTGTTGTTTTCAATTTAAAGCAAAAATTTCAGACACTTACCTTGGGCTAAGACATTCTACAAATGAGATGCAATGTACTTTGTTGTTCCCACAACATAGAGGGTGTACATGTATTCTCTTTTACCTGTAATTAATAGCTTAACTTTATTACACTGTGTTTGTGGATGCATTAGTCAAATAAAGGCCAATGATATTTTGTAATCTGAAGTTTTTTTTTGAAATTTTGCTCCAAAGGAAATCCTGGTTTTCCAGCAAGATCGATCAGCAGATGTACGTAAATTTGTGGTTGGATTCATTGAGGAGGCATGGTATGTCTGTAATTGTTTATTAAAGTATTAGTAGAATTGAAATATCAGTAGTCATGAAAAAGTCTTAAAAGAGTGTTCTTGTAAGACTTTGCCTGTAACTTGAGGTTTTTTAAATCCTTGTTACAAATCTTGAAAAACTCTTGCTCGAGGTACTCCTTCCCCCTTCCAATGTTGGCCATTAGAAAAAGTGTTCTGCTTGCAGAAATATCAACACAGTGAGGAGCAGTTTGTATGAAGAAAACTGAAAATGGGTTAATGATGTTTTGCCATTCTCCTTGAGAAGTTGCCATTTCATTACCCATTACCCATTACCCTCAGTAGTTTATCAGTTTTCCTTGAGAGTTCACCAGTGTCCACACAGATTTACTCCTAAGCAAAGAGAGGAACTGAGAGCCTAGCGCTTTCTTTCTTTATTCTTTTCACCCTAACATCAGTATGCATATTCATTCTCCATACTGTTCTTTGTACATTTCCTAATTTTCAGACTGGGAGAATATTTTTAACAATCAAGAGTTTTCTTAGTTGGTGATCATTCCCTTTATTCTCCCAACCTTAACAGCTCATTTGGGGGTGATATTGTAAGGAGAAAGTAGATGGTAGTCACCAGCTCTTAGAGGACAAAGCCCTGTTTCTTAGGGTCAAAGGGTTAAAAGTGACACCCAACAAGACCATGACCTCTTGGTGCTTAGAGTAGTGTCCCCTTCATAAGCTGACTATCTATAGCTGGGCTTTTTTCTTTCTGGTTGATTATTATCAATTATGACAACTTATTTTCCCGTTCAGTAACACTGTCTTTTGCTCCAACAAATGGCTAACGATTGAAACGTCAGCTTTGAAACTCTTTAGGGTGGCCAATTTATGTTAGCATCTCAGTTGATGATACCAAATTACCTTGTCATACTATCCCATCGACACAGCACCACAGTTTCTTTAGAAACTTGCCCTCTTTACACTGACAGTAATTTTGCTTGGAACATTTTTCTTTTTATGTACCACATGACTCATTCATGTACCTAATAGACTATTAACTTTGATCTCAAATCTGCAGCAAAAAAGACATTGAACTGTTGAGCAAAGTGCTCAACAATCTGGGTTTTATGTTGAATGATGATAATGTTGCTGTTCAAAAGAGAGTCATGCTGTGTTTTACACAGCTGTACAAGTATGCTTTACAGGTCAGTAAACATCTGTTTCAAATTTAAAGTGTTTTCACTTATTTTATGCATGTACATCTAAAGTTGAAGTGAAGTTTTTGCTAACCTTTACCGACACTTTAACTCAGATTGTATTAACTAGTGCTTTGTCTCCTTCTTCGATTAGTACATCTGCAAGCAAAAAGCAATATCTGAAGAGCTAGAACGCATGTGGGAGGTGAGTAGATTGAACTTTCTTTGACAAATTTTACACTTAACTTTTGCCTTGCTAACACCCTTTTGCCTTGTAGACACCTGAAATTGAAGAAGGTGTTGACCCTTTGTCAGAGCGATTGATGAAAGGCTAACACTCGAAAAGTCAGCCTTTAAACTCTTTATGGTGGCCAATTTTATGATAACAACTCAGTTGATAAAACTTAATCACCCTGCACATTAAAAGATTTGTATATTTTAAGATCTCTAAATTCTTATCTCCATTGTATCCCTCTGTTACCTGTAGCTATCAGTATTGTGATGTCTTTATTTCTTGTTTTTTTTTTTTTTGGTTCAACTTTATTCTGTTTTTACCTACAGCTTCTCATCCAGATAAAGGAACAGATTATTGATATGCTGGAATCTGACAATGATGGGTAATGTGAAAACTTTTTAAAGTACTATATATATATATATATAATAAATGCCCAATGTACCTTCAATTGCTACACAATTATGTGTAGCTACAATGTAAGCTTTTGAACAAGCACTTTTTATTAGCACTACAGCTAATGAAATAAAATGTGTGTTTCTCCATCAGTGGGAAGATTTGAGATTACTTAGGGAGAGGTTTGCTGGGATCTGGCCTCATTGTCAGTGATAGACCCCTTACAGACCACTCATTGGTTCACATTTCACAAGGACTCAGGCTTTCCCCTGGGCGAAGAATTGTGTGCCAAAGCTTGCAGGCTATAGTACATAAGTCTATAAAATCTAATTTTTCTCAAAATGGGATTTTTTCCGTTTCAGAATAAGAACTCATGCTATAAAGTTTATGGAGATGCTTGTTCTTGTCCAGTCACTTAAAACTCAGGTATGCTTTCTTATTTCTTTGAAAAGGCAAAAGAAAATGTATTAAGTGCAACCATGTATGTTATTAATGCAGGATTCTGAGTCACTGAAGAAAGGTGAGGCTGACATCTCATTGGAGATAGTTCCCAGAAATCATCCTCTAATCAAGATGACAGAACTAAGGGAGGAAGGAGGATCAACGCTGGAGTCTCTACTCACCCTCATTGCATCTCACACCATCTCCAGGTTTGCTTTGGATAGAGTTCTTTAACTTTAGAAGTGAACAGTTTTGATTTGCAATTCTAAATAAAAGCACACTTTGCAATGTAACACCTATATTGAATTGTCAGCTTGGGGCAGGGCTATTTGTTGTTGTTGTCGTCATCACCATCGTTAAGCATTGTTAACCTGTCAAGGCTGATGGAGTTGTTGTTGATACAAGCTTTTACTGCTTTGTTAACTGCAAAAGTACTGGAGCTACTGCCCCATGAAGCTACATGTACAGTTAAACTAATCAAGATTGATGTTTGAAGTGTGGGTGCAACTGATTTTTGAATCAATCAATTTGCAATGAGTTCCAGAGCATCACAACCTCCCCATTTAAGACAAGGTCACACAGGGAGTTGCAGCATGTCTGGGACAACCTTGCTTGGGAGCAACATGACTACTTACCATTCAAACAGAGTTGTAAATGTTAACTGTATGCTTTACCTGTAAACCGAGCATATTTACCCTTTAACTTCCAAGATCTGATTGTTAATTCTCTTAGCTAGTTGCTTCACATTTTCCTTGAAATAAGTGACAAGAATTTGATGTTAGATCAAGATAACAACTTATATCTAATGAATTTGAGTTTTCTCATTATCTGCTTGCTGGATAATGTGTAGATGTTATAGGGAGAAGTTACATGTTAATCACTTCAATCTGTATCTATCACCAGTGTTAACCTCATGGCTTCCCTTGGATCCCTGTCAGCAATTGCTCGTCAAAGGCCTGCTTTTATGTCTATTGTTGTTCAGGCATTTGAGTCTCTCCATGGTAAGAAATTACTTTTCATGCCTTTTCGGTCTTTGTACTTTTTCATGTTACAAAGAGAGTTTATATGTATTATTCACCAGCCAGGAGGTCTGTATTGGGAAAAAATAAAAGAAATTACATAGGGGAGAGGTTGAAGATAACACAGCATCAAAAATGTTAATGCAATTTCATTCAAAAATAAGAATTACTTTGTCACATCTAATCTTGGATGCTTTATACAATGTAAATTTCATGTAGATATTTTTTAAATCTTTCTCAACAGCTAATCTTCCAACCTCTCTGAGCAAATCGCAAGTCAGCAGTGTTAGGAAAAATCTGAAGGTATTTTTTGTTAAAAAATGAAATCTCATTTTACAATTTAGAACTTAGCAATTCATCTGTTCCATTCTAACGGTAACATACACTGATGTGCTTATTACTGTCAGGAAGATAAAGGAATCAATTGAGCCTAACTCTTCTGCCAGACTTAAACTGTGGTTTTAGACTTCAACAGAACTCAAGCTTGGGCTGTTTGAAGTAAATATTAAATTTTTTTCCACTGAAGGCAGTCAGCCTTCTTCACACCATTTACATAAATCAGTTTTCTTAGTGAAGAATTACTAACCAGTATGTCAAGCTATTAAATTATGCTTCAAATTTACAATTGCTATCAGGGTGAGGTGATTAATGACAAAAATAAGTGTGAACCTTTACTGTTAAGACTGCTCTAACAAGAAAAAGACCTTACTGTTTTGCTTTAAATTCCCCTTTCCTATTCATTGCTGCACACAAACTAAGCAAGTCTTATTTAGGGAGAAGGTACTACATGTATTTGTCTGGCATTCTTAAAACAGTTATATACATGTATGTTGCTGATCTTTGAAATGATGTGAAATTTAAATATTGCTGTGGTACTTTTTCATTAGAAGAGCTAATTGCTAATTGTAATTTTTTTTACATCATTTTAGCTTCATCTGATGAGTTTGATGAAACATCCATCTTCAAGTAAGTGAAATTAAATCTCAGACGTTTTTTCTCCCATTTTTTTTTTCTTTTCGGGGCATTAGTTGTAGCCCCAGAGTCAACTTGCTCGTTCTTCCACTTTATCCAACTCTGTTAATGCAAATGGATTGGTACATTTTCTTGTAAAGATGGAAAGTGAGAAATCATACTTGTAAACTAATTTAATTGAACCTGGGGATGAAAATTATGCAAAGAAATGATCATAAGTGGCTTGATGAAATGTATTTTTAAAGGAAGGATTTGTTTTCAAATTCCTATAAGGGAAAGAAGAACCCTTTAAAATTTGTCTAGCTTTCAATATGTGGCCTCTTAACACAGTTTGTGGTTTTGAGGCTTGAGTTTCTTCATGCTTCTTTTCTGTTATTACTTAAATTGCAGTTTATCTGTGAGTATCTTTATTTGCTTGATTTTTATCTGCAGGTCAATTGAAATTTATTCCATTATAAGTTGTTAAGCAGATGTTGTTATTGTTTTTCAGTTGAGTTCCTTCCCCAGATTACCACACTTTTAACAGATCTTGGGGCTTCTCAGGCTGAGGTCAGTATCATTGACGGAAACCTAGTGCATAAAAGTTTAAAAAAAAAAGTGTTATAGCTGTAAATTATAAAGGCTCTGACACAGCCGGTCGCTACACTTCTTTTGGATGTAGGGTTACGTGACATCTTTCAGAACCTAAACGCGAGAGACTTAAGATTATGTGGCTACAATTGTTTCTTTGATATCTTGAGGACTCGCCCCATTGCAAGTTCGTCCCCTCCTGGATGACTTCGCCCAAGCATGGGATGAAACCTCCATAAACCATTTTTTGTACTTTCAATCAGTGAATTTTGATTTGATGTTTTCTTTGATTTCTGTAGCTTCAAAGGAATATGCCAAAAGCCAGTGCCGAGAAAAGAAGGTTTGTCAGTTTATGCATAGATCATGTCGCTTCAAGACTGAGTTCATAATATAAGTTGGCCACCGTTTTGAAGTCTAAAAACCACATGATATTAATCTTTGTTGTATTTTGATTTGACCTTCGAGGTCTGAACCAGAAGCGGCGACTTCAAAGAAGCCGAAGCTTGATGTAAGTAAAATTCTGAAAAAAAAAACACAGAAACAAAAACAATAACGAACCAAACACACACGTTGAGAAGCTCGTGACAAGACCTAAAAATATTTTTCTCAACTTTGTCAGACTGAAGAGATAGAGACGATGTCTGCATCAGATGCGGTAGACATGACAGCCCAGGATATTATCCCCAGACTCAACAAAGACACTGTAACAGACCTTGTACTGGTCAGCATGTTGGCTCTTCCTGACAGCATTCCTTCCCACTTCCACGACACCTACACCCCCATCGCCGCCGCAGGTGGACAGGCGCAGGTTGTTCATCTTGCTCGACTGTTAGCCACCCAGATGAATGCTGCCAAGATTGGAAAAGGCTATGAGAGAATGGAAGCTTTGCGAAAGGTATGTCTCTGGTTTAAATATTGTCTGAGATCTGAAAGTTAAAAAGGAGAAACTGGAGAAACTTGCCGTATTTTCCCATCTATACTGCCGAAGATCTCATTAGGGAAAATTTCTCTTCTTGTTACTTTGATTGCGGCGTAAACATTCGTCGTTGTATCGTGTCAACAGGCTCAGAATGACCCACGAATGAAGGAGGAGAGTATGTCGATCCCCGTGATTGGTGGACCAGGCTTTAACGGGCCCGGCGCTGAAGACGATCCTATGGTAGGTGATGGAAAGATTCATATACTTTTTCAGTTGGTGAAAGAGTCATTTTTGGAACAATTACTCCGCTAACGCTCTGACGAAGGGCTAACGCTCGAGACGTCAGCTTTAAAACTCTTTACGGTGGCCAATTTACGTTATCAACTCAGTGATAGTACAAAATTACCCTGATTATTACTTCCAATGGTTTTCAACGAGCTGGAGATGAGATACGTGGGGGAAGGGATTGCTAATGGCTAGTAATACCCGGATCCATCGTGATTGTTTTGCTAGTCTTAATTGTAATTCAGTTATGTATAATATCATTTTTTTTTCCAGTTTATGTTTGGTGTACCTAAACCCGAAGAGGATTCAGCATTGCAGAGGATGTTAGGTAAACGATGAATTAAGCTTCATTGTTAGAAATTCAGTTACATGAATACCAGAACTCTTTCCTGTCACTTTTGGTTTCAGTTCGAACCAAACGCAGCTTACATGAGGCTTGAGAAAAGTTTCTTAACTTTCTCTGTGTCCCTCGCAGACAACTTCTGATGAAACTTATATCACGTGGGATACTACGTAATCCGCCAACGCTATCGAATTTAACGCAGCGGTCAAACGTAGGGCATGCGCGAGGGGATCAATTCTGGCCACCGGCGCGTCGATTTTTCGCGTAAAAGTTTAGAGGAAAATATAAGGTTATGCGCAGGGTAAGCGAAAGAAATTTAGGATGATAAATCATTGTATCATTTTCACCCTAGGTGGACACCTTGAGGCAACCAAAGAAAAGAGACCTATGGATATAAAGAAGGTATTAGAAAAGGCTGTTTTCCCTTGCTTGATATGAATGAAACTTCGTTTGACAACAATTTTAACCCTTTAAACCCTAGGAGTGACCAGCATCTAATTTCTCCCAACAAAATCTTTCATGAAACACACATTAAGGTCATGAGAATAAAGGAAATGATCACCAACTATTCAAGCTTTTGATTGTTTAACAAATTCTCCTTGTCAGCACCATAGGAAATTTTATAGAGAACAGTATGGAGAATATGCATCCTGATGTTAGGGTGTGAAGGGATAATGCAGTGATGAAGCAGAATGCATGAGTAACAGTTTTATAAAAAAATAACTACTAATTTAAATAAAGGTTATGTAAATTATTATATAGGTTAGAAACGGAAGAGAGTTGCAAATATCCTTACACCCTCAGAAATTGATGTATTTGTTTATCAGATTTAATGTTCGTGCTTTTTTCTTTCTTTAGACGCCATTTGTACCCAAAGAACCTGCTGTCCCTCAGCTGGTAGGATCATTTTTCGTTGATTAGTGAACTTTTTTGTGAGTCTGAGATCCCATGTGTTCGTTTATTCACCATGAAACGATTTAACGGAGGGTGAAAGGGATCTATCAATTGGTGCGCTGGACTTTGGACTGAGAGGTCTGGGGTAGAGCCTGGGGCGGGCTCAGTGTCTGATGTTGTTGGACCAGGCCCTTCACTCGACAGTGCTATACTGCTAACTGCCTGGGAAGTTTGTAAAATGTTAAGGGAAGGTGGGGGTCGCGATTCTCCTAGTCTCTTTATGCAACGGAAACCAGAATAAAGTGTAGCACATAGGGCCATCAGGCTCGCGATCGAGACCGAAACACTTGCCTTAGGAAGGCTGTCGTTTTTCAAGCTTCGCGTTCGTATTTCAGCCAGCGTGAGTGTCTATGTGTCATCCATCCTTTCGCTTCAGTCTCTAAGCCTCACTTACTCCTTGTTATTTCAAACTTTTTACTAAAACAGCTTTCTGAAAGTCCATAGTTGTGTATACCGGGGTTGTTCTTCTCAATGAAATATCACTGCAAGTTTTGGAAAAAACGAGCGAAAGGAAAGTTTTTTAATCACCTTTTTTCGTTTACTTGAATGTTTGTTATATAATATGCAGCGCATGAGGAAGATCAAGCCATTCAAGTTATCTGATGTGACAAGGGAATTGAATCCGGACGAAAGACAAAGTCTGATGACGAACGCTGTCAGTAGAATACTTGCCTCCGAAGGTGAGAATCTGAGAAGGTCTGGTGAGACAAAGTGACAGAGTATCTAAAGCTTTCCTTCTCGTAAATATCTTACAGTTGTCTTTTATCCGTGTTTTTGTTTTTTTTTTTTTTTCGTTATTTGTTTGCTTGTTCGTCGGTTTGTTTGTCTCTTTGTTTGTGTCGTTGCCATTTGATAGAACGAAGATTGACTAACGGGTGGAAATAAAAGCAACAATAGCAAAAGTTGAAGAAATACTGAAATAATGAATTTTCTCCGTAACCCAACCAGAAGTCGGTCAGTATGTCGTCACAAGTGGTTTGTTGTTGTTGTTGTTTTTTTTGTTTTTTTTTACATGTGGACCTTTTTACATGGTCTTGCTGGCCGATGAGTTCTCCTCAGCTCTTTGGAAGAGCATCAGAACGAGAAATTAAAAGAGATAGCGGTTGCAATTCTCTTTGATGCTCTCATCTTCTACGCTCGTCTTAAATATTTGACCGCGGTTTTCTTGAAATCAAAGCAGATGTATCTTTAACTCTTCTTTTACTTGTTTCTTCGTAGGTAGTGCTGCAAGGAGCGGAGTTACACAGGTAGATTTTTTACGAGGTTTATTTACAAATTTTGTTCCTCTTCTTCTATCCAAGCCTGTACAAATCTTATTTTATGCTGTAAAACAACTTCCCTGTGACGTTTTTGTGTCCATGTTGGCAGTCGGTGAGATGATAAAGGTATTCTTAATGACCCTTTTTTCGGCAGGAACGCATCAATCTCATTGTCGGACTTGTTACACAATTGGGAGGGGATCTTAAAATGGGTAAGTCCTCTTTTTTTTTTCCTATCCTTTTCTTTTGTTTTCCTTCAGAGGAATTGGGTGAAACTTCAATCGTACAGAAAAAATGCTAAGCTTGATTTGTTGTCTAGTTGTTGGTGCCTATCTTGTGCGACCACTGGAGGGTGGCACAAGTTCTTAATTACCAGCCGTTGTGCGGGAAATTAGGACCGCATCCAAGGGACCCACGTGTTTCTAAAGCAATCACACAACATCCTGAAATTAAACCAAATGCAGTACCTGTTTTCCCTTTAAATTCAATCGAAAATTTTATCGGGGATCGTAAAAGAAAACAACAACAACATTGTTTAACTTGTTCTCATGACCTGTGAAAGTTTTTGATTACCTTGTCATTTCTTAAATTTTAAGCGATCTTTTGTGCTTATGATGGATGATTTCAAATTGTGTTACTTTCTATCACTGCAGTTCTCCAAGAATTTATTCAGGAGGAGATCCGATCTCGATATGATCTGTTGATGTCCTGGCTATATCAAGAATACGCATCATCAGAAATTGAAGGAATAGATGAGGATTCTGACCTGCGCCAATCGTACAGTGATTGTCTTCTAAATCTTATGGACGGACTTTACGCTAAACTGGATCCTAAGGATAAGTAAGTAATTCCTCTTCATTCCCAATGAAACTCCAATTTTTTTTGTTAAGGGGAGGGGGGGGAAGGTATCACATGGACTCAGAGGAAACGGAGGTGGGTCAGTCGTTGGTTACAGAGCATAAAGGGGTCGGGACTATAGAAAATTGACTGCCAATTAGGGAGGATGTAAAATACTACAGAGCCTTACGGGGGATCAGGTGAATTTTTGTTGTGATACAACCAAAATCCTACGACCGCTTCTTCCCCCACCCCCCCCCTCCCCCTCCAGATGGTAAATAATGACTTGTTATGGAAACTGCAGAGCTGTCAGGCTGGGGGAACCTTTTTTTTTTCCTCGCTCGCTCCGCTTTTCGCTCCCGCCTACATACTAGAATCATGTGTTAGTGTTCCTTTTGTTTTACGTGTATTTTAATAATTAAGACGACCCTTGTTTCTCTAACAGATTATTTACTCGTATTCTTCTTGACATCCCGGCATTAACGGACGGAGCAGTAATGGCAGTGAGAATGTATTGTGAAGACTTGGTGAGTAAAGACTGCATCAGAAGTCACGAACTTTGCACCAGTTAGTCACATGATCGATGATCTTGAACATTGTGTCAAAGAGCAACTATCTTTTTAAATTGAGTGTGCGTAAAGAACTCGTGTGAAAAAATACCAACACAAACGACTCGCTTAGCGACCAGGAGTATTCATTCCTCTTTCGCGGTGTGGAATGGATATTTATAAGCCCCCTTCCCCTCCGTATTTCGTCATGCTTCATTGACAGTTTGCTGATTTACGCATTTTTATTCCTCGGGTTTTGATATCAGATGTCAACATTTCTTTTTCTCCCAACTCGGCTTTCACAGGTCGTCTTATAAGTAAGTCTAATACTAGTCTCCTTCTCAGCCGTGCTTAGGGATGTCACGCAACGTACTTCCCAGAAGAAGGAAAAGGAATGCAGTACGGATGTGACCAGCCGCCACTTTTGGGGGAAGCGTTGCGTGACAAACCAAGGAAGAACTGCGATGGCATCAGTTATTCCGAAACTTATTTATTTCCTTTTTTTTTTTTTTTTTTTTTACCTTTATGAGCCAGTGCATCAGAATTCATCACGTAAGTTAGAGTGTAAATGTTTGCTGCTCTTTCTTTGTAGGATCGGCTTCAAGTTGGATTCTCTACTCTAAGAGAACTAATCTTAAAACGTCCAGCCACCCAAGAGCAGTTGTTACAAACTCTGCTGGAGCTGACCACAAACGAGAAGGAGCAAGTTAGGGTGCAGGCCATTCACTCGGCCAAGAAACTCCACACGCGGCCTGAACTCGCCGAATCTATTGAGGTAAGTGTTGCTCTTTCAGAATGATTATCTCGCAATTGAAATAGAGCGACCTAGATTTTCCCCTTACCGTTGTTCACATGATGTTTATTCTGCTTACTTGGTGTGAATTTCAGAAATATGCGCTCACTTCCTTGCAACAATTGTTAGCCGACCATCCACCCGCTCCGGAAGGACTGGACCCTGATATAGGTACAGTCGTCAATAAGCACCTTTGCTTGTTTTGTTTTTTTGTTTGTTTGTTTGTTTGTTGTTTCCTCTCTCTTTTGGAGGCACGGAAAGCTAGTATCTCGCCAATTACGTCAAGATCATATTTACAGAAACATTATATATATTTTTTTGGGGGGGGGGGGGGGGAAATAACGAACGCTGTGCAAAGCGAGGGTGAAAATTATCCAACACTCAATTCGGAAACAACACGCAACTTGTATAATGGTTTGTTAGGGGCGACTGTTTTTCTTTGAGAGGTTGTGACAAGAAACACGTTGGAAGTTACAGAGGATTAACTCTTTCCTTAAATTGTTTTTGTCTTTGTCTGTCTTGCAGAAGTAGCTCCCGGCGAGTGGACAGATGACACGATCAAACTTTGTCTTTATCTATACCTCGCATTGCTTCCACAAAACCACAAGCTGTTTCACGAGTAAGTCAGTCACGTACATACAACAGTAATATAAGTAGATACCTTGGAGGAGAGTTGTAACTTAACAAGGGCCCTCTGGGGTTCTTGGAGTTGCTTAGCTTGGGTGGGCTTTTCATGATTAGAGGTGTGGTAGGGAGTACGGAAACTGTTATTTATTGGTCGAAATGTTTGCCGAGGTCACACAAGAAAAAAAAAATGTTTAAAAATCATTTAGTTTAACCTAAAGCTCTGTACTGTAATTCTACTCAGTTAGTGATCTCATTTTCAAAGCTTTACAGGGTATCGCTTTTCTGTATGCTACTGAACCTTAGTTATTGCTAACTCTCACATGATGAAAAACAGCAAGAGATAGAGAATGAAGATTTTAGATATATGAAAATTCACATATTTGCACTGCGGTGGAGAGATGAAATTAGGAAATCCTCGCAGCTAAGAACACTAATGAAACGAGTAGTTGTAAATAGGACCTGAAAAAAATTCAGGCCCGTACGGGATTTGAACCCATGACCTCTGCGATACCGGTGCAGAGAATTGTTTTACTGCGGCGCTAGCCCCCTAGGAATGTCAACCAGTTTCAAGGCGAAGGACTGTGTGTGCAATTCCAAGAAAGCACATAACCTTCCTTTTAAAATATTTTTGCCAAGCGTCAATCTGGCGTAGTGAAACCTCCGTTTATCTATTTTAAGGCGAGTGATTGATAGTTTTCGCTTTGCCGTTCACATTAGTGACTCAGACCTGATCAGAAATCCCGTGTTATAACTCTCGAAAGGTTCCACTCGGTACGCCTGGTAATGAGGTCAGCAGTCGGTAAGGAGAAGGGCTGGAACTAGATGAAGATCATCGAGCCAGGCGACTGTATCATTCCTAAAACCTTAACTTACTTGTTTCTACTTTTCTTGTCCATCCTAGGTTGGCCAAAGTGTACACAGCTTCCTCGCAAATCATAAAAAGAATCATTCTCAGACACCTTGAACATCCTGTAAGTATCCTGAGTCTGTTTAAACGTAATTTGGCGCACGAAAGAGGCGTAGCTATTACAAAGGACTTTCCTGTGGTTTTCTTAGTACTGTTCTTTGGTCATTACGGAGTTGTTTCGTTAAATCTCGACCCCGTTATAACCAACCCTGAGCACGCTTTGCAGTCCGTCATATGGGTCTTATTTATATTTTTTCAACCGAAATCTTTCAGGTTCGTGCAATTGGCATGGCTTCTCCTGAGCTCTTGCAGTTGGTGGAGAACTGTCCTACAGGCGCTGAAACTCTTATTGCAAGAATCTTGAACATTATTACCGACAAAGGTAGTGTGATGATTAATTTTTTTGAGATCAAACTCCATTTTAACCTGTAGCACGATAAAGTCGAGAGAGGAAACTAGTGAAATAGTGTCGCAGAAATGTACGAAATATTTTATTGCCACTGATAGGAAATTGACTTGAAAACGTTGAGTGCAGAAATAGGCAAGCGAAGTCGGATCAATATCAGTATCTGGGCAACTGCCCACCTACCCCTCCCCTAACTCAACAACAGTCAATTGATAACAAGCTAGGGTTAATGTTGGGTTAGGGGAGGGGTAGGTGGGCAGTTGCCCAGATACTGATATTGATCCGCGAAGTCATTGTTTTTACGCAAAGGAGAGAACTAAAACAAACTTTTTACAACGATGAAGGCGTCTTTCTTTACTTCTTAAGAAAGTGGTCACTTTTTGCCTCTCCTCAGTTGATCTGTGAACTTTAGTCTCTAAACGTTCCTGAGAATTAAAGTAATGAAGTACACAGGTTGGAGTCGAAACTCTGCCAACGAGTGCTCATTTTGGCTTTTTCTTTGGCTTCTAGCGGTGCCCACGGATGAACTGGTGAAGCGAGTCAAAGAGCTGTACCACAAGCGTGTGTCTGATGTGCGATTCCTGATTCCTGTACTTACTGGACTGAAAAAACAAGAGATTATCGCTGTGCTGCCCAAACTGATCAAACAGTCGCCCAGCGTGGTCAAAGAAGTGTTTAACAGGCTGCTAGGATGCTTCCATAGTGAGTACAGTGTTTCGCTGGTATAGATGAAAACACAATTCGGCCTGAGTGACCGCGCGGCATCAGAAGTTGTTACGTATCAGTTACCTCTTCATTATTTCACCACTATTGCCGCATCCCACAAGTGTACCGTATTTGTATCTCTGCATACTTTTATGTGGGATTTCCAAAGCCATCACGTTTGCCATTCCTAATCAGTGAGGTCGAAGCAACTTTCAATGGCTGTTAACTTGGCGTTTCTCTTCTTCCTCGTTCATTTTTCGGATTGTAAAGAACTTAATTGACCAACATTTTCTCTTTTATGCAAAATCTGTGGCTAACTTATTGGTATCATGGCATCGAGCAGAATTGCCTGGTAGCAATTTGTTTCATTTCTTGATGTGTTACCTCACTAGAGAAGACGCCGCACAGGTCTTTATTAATTTTTTTTTCACCCTGGGATTGCATAGTCAGCGATCGTTCAGCTCCCAGTGCTTTTTCACGAGTTTAATCTACCGACTTAGCGTCACATATGCGTCGAGTTTAACATGTGGTTTTCGACCTTTTCAGAAGGATATTTCTCCAAGTTCTCACATTTTCCATCTTCCTGAAAAACTAATACATCAAATTCCAATTCGTCCTCAAATTAATGGATGAAAAAGCATTGTGGATATGTGCCACAGCTTGATTTACTATGGTTTTTCTTTGTTGTGTACTTTGTGTTCACAACGCAGCGGACTCCTCCAATTTGTGCACTTCAAACTTCGCGTGATCACTGCCTTCCCGTTACGTTCATGTCTTTATTGTGCTATTTCCTTTTGTTTACTTTTTTGAAGTAGCTGAAAAGTGGCCATGTGAAGAATGTCGGGGAAAAAAGGAAAACTGTAGATGCTTTTGCTGGTTTAATAAGATGACTAACAATGTGTTTTTCCTTATTAGGTGATTCTAAAGTATCCGCCACCAGCCCCCTCAGTCCGTCCGAGCTCCTGGTTGCTCTTCATCAGATCGAGGCCAAAAGTGACATGAAGTCTGTTATGAAAGGTAATCCAGTATTCAAAGAGGAAGATTTCGATTAGATTTTAACGATTGTTCCTTAATGAAGGAACTATAAAGGGATAAATTTTCAATTGATTTTGGACACTGATGAAAGATTTAAGATTTTGGACACTAGTGGCCGACTTTCGATTTTTTATTTTCGCTCCAGGACCCCGAAATTGAAACTCGGCCCCTAGTGTCCAAAATCGAAGATCGGCCACGAGGGTCCAAAGTAGAAAATCGGCCATTGGGGTCCAAAATCGGATATCGGACACTAGTGTTCAAATAGGCCTCTAGTGATGAAAATCGAAAATCGGCCACTAGTGCCCAACTCGAAAATCGAGTCATCTTTCGATTTTGGATACAATTGGCCAATTTACAATTTTCGATTTTGTGTACTAGTGACTGATAACAAGTTTATAAAAAATACGTGTTTCATTCCTCCCCCAGCCAGCAGCTTGTGTTTCGCGGAGAAGACCATTTACACTCAAGAGGTGCTAGCAGTGGTTCTGCATCAGTTGATGGAAATGAATCCTCTCCCTACCCTATTTATGAGAACGGTAAATTTCTTTTTAACAATTTAAATTCTTCTCCCTCCCTAAAGTTTCTTCTTTCTCTCCTCAGTATGAGATAGGCTCATTTAAGACTGACTGCAATTCCATTTTACGTCGCCAGAACACAATTGTGAATAATCAGCTGCAGATTGTGTCACCCACACATTTGTATCACAGACCGTTGTCTTGTTTTGTGAAAAGTGCACCTGTAATAAGAGACAATAACATTTTTGTAGCGTTATCGAGTTGCTTACATTGTATCTTCACCCTGTAGGTGATCCAGTCTCTCAGTATTTGTCCTCGGTTGGTCGGTTTTGTCATGAATATTCTCGCAAAACTTATCACAAAACAGGTGAGTAAACTAAGCCCACAATGTTTTCTTTATCACCGAAAAGTGGACTGACTTTAGACTGAAGCGACAGACTTTAGATATTAGCGTCCGATTTTGGACACCAGTGTCCGATTTTAGACACCTGTGTCTGACTGTAGACATTAGTGTCCGAATATGACTGATTTTAGACCCTAGAGTCCGATTTTGGACACCAGTGTCCGATTTTACACACAAGTGTCTTATCTTGGACGCTAGTGTCCGAAATCGGGCGCTAGGGTGCGGTTTTTAGACTCAATGTCAGATTTTAGACTCTAGTGTTCAATTTTCAGTTCTTTATTGACCCTCCTCTGATTCTTTTGTTCAAGGTGTGGAAACAGCCAAAAGTGTGGCAGGGATTTGTGAAGTGTTGTCAGGTAATTTTTCAAGTTCTCAAAATTAGAACTTTGACTCCTAATTGAGTGTAATTTATGGGCCTCATGGTCTTATAGAGGCAGAGCAACTGCGCATATACCCCTCCCCTAAGCCAACATTAGCCCTAACTTGTTATTAGTGGACTTTTTTTTTGGTTAGAAGGGGGGTAGGTACGCAGCTGTTCAGATACTGACGTTGATCCAATTTATACATCGTCTTTTCAGACGCACTAGTAGTAAACGTAGTTCTGTACACAACTGAAGTGGTCAATCTATATATATCTAAAAAAAGACCCAAGGTTTGACTGGTGCCGATATTCCTTTATTAACGATATTTATTCCGCAGTTCAAATTTCTTAATTTTTATTTACTGCCTTTGCACATTTGAACTCGAAAAATAATAGTCACGCTAACATTTAATACTTCTTTTTCTTGTCAGATGACCAAGCCTCAGTCCTTCTCGGTCCTTCTTCAACTCCCTTCCCGACAGTTGGAGAGTGTGTTTGAGGTAAGACATCTTGAAAGTTCTCAGTCGTCAAGATAAGTTCCGTCTACTCTTTGTCATACCTTAGGTGAATTGTGAGTATGCGAATGTGCGGCAATACTTCATCTAGGAAGCGCAATTTCCTTATCCTTCTCCCTTGGCACCCACCCACCTTGTCCCCCTCCCCCTCCCCACCAACCCCTCCGTTGTGTGTTTACGTGGAAATTTTTGACTCGTGAACAAACATGCTTAAGATGCAGATGATAGTATCGTGATGAGTTACTTTATTCATGAAAAATTTGATGAGAATTATGAAGAAGGTAATTTTCTCAGTATTTTTTTCAGGTTCCTTGACGCACAAGTTTTGTTATAATTTTCTAATCACATTATTTTTCAGATTTGCCCAGAGCTCAAAGAAAATCTGGTTTTGCATGTTCAGTCGTTCACTCCTCACCAGGTAAGCTCGGTTGATCATTGGTGATCTGTGGTTCATATCAAAACAGCCACAGCTCAGCTTTCACGTAATAACAGAGCTCCAAGGATGTAAGATCGAAACATCCGCGTAGAGTCAAGCTGTATCCCTTAATTACCATAGAAGGCTTATATATAGAGAGCAACCTACATATTACAGAAATTTGTTCAGTTGGCTTCAAATTTGTGTTCATTCAAGCATGATACAGGTAACAGATTGAAAGAAGGTAAAGCGTTTTCAAGGTCGCGCCTTCACAATTGTGGACAAATATACGCTAAAATTTGTTACCTTAAATTTTCAAAAGACCATTGAATGGTCGGAACCTGTTTCTCTCGAAAAACAAAAACACCTGACGAGAAAAAGGGACGATATAAGTGCACCGTATAAATCCTGTCAGAGTTGAGTTCTTTCCGTGCGAGTTCTGTTCACTCCAGTGAGAGCGCTCTTCAGAGTAACTTAGAAACTTCAATTCAAAATAAGTGTAAACATGAACTATATGCAGATTAATGGAAACTGAAGACAACCACACAACGTAGAAAAAAGTAATTAAGCATTGTAGGAAAATAACTGTTTGAGCAGCGAATTGATTTTTCCTTACAGCGAGCTCACATACCAAGATCCCTGTTGCAAATCTTAGAAAAAGACGGAAAGAAAGACGAAAAGAAGCCGAAACCAGAAAAACCAGATAAGGAACAAATCGACCCTGAGGAAGAGGAGGAGGAAGAGGAAGAAGAAGACTCAACGAAGGGCGACAAATCTCCGAAGCGGACACGATCACACATCAGGGAGGCACTGAAAGATAAACGGAAATCCCGAAGATCGCGCTCTCGCTCCAGGTCACCGCGGAAGAAACGGGAGAAAAGTGCTGGCGAAGAAAGTGCAAGCGAAGGGGAAATCAACTAAATGAATGAGGATGGATACTTCACTTTTTATAACATGATGTGTGTAGAATGGTGGTAGAGTTACACCATCTGATAAATTTTTAAGACTCAACTTCGTTCCCAGACCATCTCTTCTCCCCACTCGCTGGAGCAAGACACCCGAGGAACAGAGCTGGAAAAGGGCCTGCAGTTTAACAAGGACATTATTGTCATGGTTGATTACTCATGTGGTCTTACGGGGGAAAACACTGAAAGAGACGAATTCTCGGAGCAAGTCACAGTTTCTGTATCTTAGAAAATATTTCCTAAACTGTTGAAATTTGTTATTTCCAAATGGTGTCACTCTTTCCTAATCTTCCTTGTCCCCCCTGATGTACCATTGCCCTGTTTGTATTGTTCTTTCTACGTTTAGTTCTTTCGTTCGTCTTTGTACATAAGACTTCGTCCAGAGAAAGAAACTGTGGAATAAAAAAGAAAACGTGAAGACGAGTGGGTCGTGCTAAACTCAGAGTGTAGTAGAGCTCTGCTCCCTGATCACCAACTTGCGGACTCAGTATTTCTGTGGTTGTTTGCCCCTGACAGGTGGGAGCCCTTAAATATATAAGGTAACATTATCTGGCGTAATCAGGTGAAGGCGGTATAATATTTTCTTGTCTTTTTTTTCCCAAATATCAAAATTGATGCTATCTAGAGCAATAGCAGTTACGTTGATAAATCCAATTTTATGATAGCAATCTTTTCAGTGTGTGGGAATATAAGCTTAAACTCTCTCTTCACTTTAAGATTTCAATCTATCAATAACCCGCTTGTGAAATCCATAGATACATACATTTCCGAAACGTGTAAAGCAATTTAATTTTGAAAATTAGCCTCTAAATAGGTATTTACGAAGAGCCATATCAAAAATACCACGATTGCTGAAGTGAATCTAAGATCTCAACGTCGTACGTGCGCATCGTTTTAAAAAAATTGTTTGATGTTTTGTAAATTTACAAGAAATTCATTAAAGCTGAGGTTAAGGATTTAAGTCGGAAATCCTGTCATCTCCAACCAATCGGAAAACGTTGGTAGAGATTGTAAATAGTTATCAGACATGGTTTGTGTGATTAGTTGTCAAAATATGTGCTTTAATTTTGTAAGAATCATTTGCTATGTAGAACTGGTCAGGGAGGAAAGTCTCTCTTTCTCATAAACTGCCGCCCTAAGTCACGTAATAAACAAAGGCAACGTTCATAGAAAATTGAGAAATATTTTTTCAACTGAGAATTTATTCAACGTTAAAAAAAGAAGTGAAAGAAGAGGCTATATGAGAGCCCTTTGTACAGGTGCAGAACTAAGCCTTTTATGTAAATAAAATAATCTTTAATTAATCGGTTTTATTGACGGTTGTGATCGAATCTAGATGCTATTTATATTGTGAACGTGCTTTGAGGTTCAGAGCGTTAAGAAACTCGCGCGAGAATGGCCACGACAAATCTAACAATCGGAAGGAAACAAACTGGGTCTTTCGAAGAACTTCGCTGCTCGTCCACTCTCACTAGTGGAATACACCAGCATCTGATTTGGATTTCAGCTGTTAATACCCTTCTTTCTATCGTTTCTGTTATTGGTAACGTTCTGATCCTAGCCGCCCTCCGCAGGGAATCTTCACTTCACCCACCATCAAAACTTTTTCTCCGTTGTCTGGCGATAAGTGATTTAAGCGTCGGTCTTCTTGCAGAACCTCTCAACATTGTCTACTGGATGTCACTAGTCTATGAAAACTGGGATCTTTGCCAGTTCGCGTCGGCTGCTTCATTTATAGTGGGCTATGTATTAGCTTCGGTTTCCTTGTTTACACTGACTGCGATAAGCGTAGATAGAGTTCTTGCCCTGGTACTGAGGTTAAGGTACAGATATGTTGTAACTATACAACGAACATATGTGGCCGTCGGTTTTTTTTGGGGATTATCCACCGCTGCAGCAGTATCATCCCTTCGTACGCACCTAATTACTTTCTGGTTTAGCCGTATAGGAATATCAGTATGTCTAACAACGTCAATTATTGCCTACACGAAGATTTTCGTCACACTTCTTCGTCGTCGAGTTCAAGTTCGTGCTGAAATTGAACAACCTGTGCCTAGCGATCAAAGTGTGCTTAACATTGAACGATACAGAAAGGCAGTGTACTCTGCGCTCTGGATACAGTTGGCGCTTCTTGCTTGTTATCTTCCCTACAGTATAGTAACAGCTCTGCTCAGTTATAGAAGGCCGTCTCAGTTGTTTTTTCTCGCTTGGGTGATGGCAGTAAGCTTAGTTTACGCTAATTCATCGTTAAATCCAATTCTTTATTGCTGGAAGATTAATGAAGTGAGGCAAGCAGTGAAGGAGACGATCAGAAATTCTCTCTGTTGGAGAAATTCATAGAGTTAAAAAAAACGTGCAAATGCAGAGGAATACCCAAACGTTTGTGTAAGAATAGCATGAATATGAAATAGCCTGTGAAAGTTGTTATCTGTCCTGCCGACCTCGTTTTCCTGCTCAGAAAAAAATTTCTTCTGGAAGTGTTTTATACGAATTAAACAGATAAAAGTGTTATTGAAGAGATCCATTAAGCTTTATTTACTTGTCAAAAAGCTTTTAATCAATCAAACAGGTGATTTTTACTGACACAACCTGCCTCATAGGAAGTGAAATAAATATATGTTATTTGCCGGCTGGGAGGTCCGTATGGTGAAAAACTGTGACCGAGGTCTTGAAAATACTGCCCGAGGCCGTAGGCCGAGGGCAGCATTTTCAAGAACGAGGTCACAGTTTTTCACCATACGGACCGACCCTTAGCCTTAAACTCGACGAAGTTCTTTCCGAAAGAACCCGAATGATTTAGAGCTGTAAATACGGCAAGATCTTCCATGAACTGAACAATTTTTGAGCGAGTGAATGGTGGTTAAAATAGAGGTGATGCAAATTCAAGAGAGATGCCTCAGCGAAACATTTTCATTTCCGTCACGATAAAGGTGATTTAAAAGGCTTCCAAAAGGCAAACCAAACTTTGAAACATTATTTTTACAAGTATCTGTCACAATCTGACACCTGTCAATTAGAGACCGCGTAACAAAAAAATGCGTGAGAACATTTGAAAAACAACGAAAATAGTTTGGCAAGGACTGTCTCGACAATGTTTTCTTCAAAAACAGCCAATGATCTAACGGAAAGTATTATTCACTCTCATCGACGATTCATTCGTGTACGAAGATTTACCTCTGTTCATTAAGTAAACGGCAAGGAAAGTAATTGTGAGTAAATTCAAATTTTTTGATTTTGAAGTTGTGAGAGTTTGCTCGTTTGTTTGATGCAATGGCATGTGTAAATCTGGTCCTTCACAAAAACTAAATTCGAATGGAACACTCCAACAATACACAAGGGGATTTAATGCGGCCTTTTCTCAAAAAAGTCCTTCAGTTTCTTCGTGCAATTTACGGTACAAATGTCCAAATTGAATGGACCTGGAAAGACTCACCGAGAGTGTATATTTGTTGTAGAACTTAAATTAAAACTTTGCTCGCTCTTTTCACTACGAACAAATTGCTTGAGAAAATTAAGGCATTAAATGAATGAAAGTTCCATCGTTTAACTGTAACGAAATACCTCACGTTTTAACTTTCTAGGTACTTTTTGTGGACGATTAAAATTAACTGCAGACGGTTTGTAGGCCGCTTGTCAACCAACGTAATGACACTATTGTTTCTACAAATTCATTCTGAAACAAATATTTTTCTGTCAACCAAAGTGATTTGATAGAGAGAAAAGAGAGGATTCATAAGTTATTTATCGGCTTGAGGTAGTAACCGACCTGTTTGCTTAAAAATACTGCCCAGCCGGAAAAACGAGATATATTTATGAAAAATGCCAACGAAATTTGGGATGTACTCGGCGATTCACGAAAGCGTTACCGTGGCCCGTGGGCAGAGATAGGAAAATACTGACCGGGTAAAGAACCAATCAGATTGCAGGATTCGTTACCGTGCCCTCCTAAAAAAAAAATAATTATTTTTAGTATGCATCGCACAGGTTAGTAGTATTTTTCGCGCGCGCTTATTGGCTGTTTCGGAATCGATTAGCAAGTACTATTTACTCCGAGCAGCTCAAGAGGCAATTTAAACTATTTTTTTCGGTTTCTGTGTGGTATATTCTTAAACAATTATACACCTCCAGCTTGGCAAATTATTGTTAACTATAGAAGAAGAGAGTAACAATTTCATAGTGACAATTTTTGTAGAATATCATGAAAATCGTTATTTTTAATGAGAGGGACTTCAATAAAGAGAATTCAGTTAATCCACAGCTAATTTTAGATATGTACTCTTTATTTTAAAGGAAAAGTTATTCAACATTTCTACTTTTCACGAATGAACTGCCTCTATACGATGTATGTACACATACAAAGCTCTGCATATTCACCCCTAAGGCCACTTTCAATAAATAAACCCCTTCAACCGGCGGAGAAATTGTCCAAAAAATGATTGCTTGATCAAGATTTTTGAGAAATTTCAAATATGAAGTGCCTTTTTTTTCGCTTTGGCTGGCTTTTTTATTTTCGACAAAATAACAGGGACAAATATCCATGCAGACGGGGGTTATTGCGTGATGACTGTCCGGTGATTTTGCAGCACGTGACGTAAAGTAGCCAAAAAAGTCACGTGGAAATTAATGGGGTGTATTATAACTCATATTATCTTTGTAAATGATCCTCCCAACCCTGATTCCCGTCCTTATGTAGATGTTTACGCCATAAGATACCACGTTGAGTCCCTATGCCGCAATTTCAGAGCTACCTGCAATCACAAAGTGTATGCATGATGACCTGATGACATCAACGAGATGGCTATGTCTGATAAATCCGGAAAAAAAGCTATGCTATTCATTGCTTCTAAAACGAAAAGTCTTCCTGTAATACAGGAGGCAAACACATGAAGTACTTAAAAGAAAGCTTCATTCTAGACTCTAAGAAATAATGCAATGATAGCGGGATTGAGGAGTCACTTCACCGAAAGTACTGTACTGAGGAGGAAGTAAAACAGCCACTTAAATCTTGTCGTACATATTGATGACCTATCCAGAAACAACGTGCCCCTCTGAAGAAGATTATGTGTAGAACATCAGCTGTATTTTAACGCGTTGAGCAAGCTGATAAGGCTCTATGGATCATGCGATCAACACGTCAGAAGAGAAAATAAAATCAGTATCAAACTCGCAAACGCGAGCAGCTCGCGTGATTTTGGATACAAATATAAGGGAAAAAAGAGAAATACCACTTAGACGTCTTGATTTAATGCCAATGCGAATCTCAAATGACTTGTGTGATAGCAAGAGAAAATAGTATCCCATTATTTTCTCTCGATACATTTTGAGCTCTCACCGGATAGAATCTCAGACCTTCGGATTCCGCGCTCTGATGCTTTACCACTGAGCCACAGAGAAGTCTAGTGACTAAGCTAGACTATTACAAGGTTTCTTGTGGACATCTGGTTGCGTCCGTAGTATGCATCGATACACTTACGATCTCTCATTTATCAAGAATATGCCTTTTGGAAACTTTTCACCCGTTTTTTTCGTCTTAAAAAAAAAAACAATTCAAAAAAGTACAATGCATTATCAAACAGAATGAAGCGTACGTGATGATAATTTTGAAAATGTCGCTTATTTATTTTAACGTCAAATATTTTTCAAAGGAAACGAAACACTCGACTACAACTCAACTCAACTGGGTATTTATACAATAGATGCAGAGGCTAAAATTGCTAAGTTAGGTTTAGGCACAGTGTTTTCTGATACGCACTGATAATAGTGTTCTGACCTAACATGACTTGATTCAGTGATTTTGACAAATCATGCTTCTAAACAGTAGAACTACATAGAAAAACACTTTTAACACCGGCAAAGAAAACTAAAGTAATCGTAAGAAAATACATTTTATAATGCAGAGACGTCGATAAGCATATGTTTTTAAAGTAACTTTCGCTTACAGCCGTAACCACATCGAACAACGTGCTATACAATATGGCTGGTAGACAAACTTCAGAGAAAAAATTTAAAAACCAGACAAAATGTCTTGCGCTTACAATAGAGTCGCGACTCGGCAATCATATAACAAAGCTACCGGTTTCTTTGACAACATGAAGTGAGATAATTAAAAACATCAAACAAAAGTTGGGTCATGGTTGAATTATTGCAATAGCTTGCACTCAGCAACGTGAGGGTTTTTGCCCATGCGCTCATTGAGTTCTAAGTTAGTTTCCGATTTAGTCCTTAATTCCAATTTACAAGGTACCTCCTGCAAT